ACAATAATTGCAGTTTGTGTAAAATTATAAATCAGCACTAACTAGGGACAGTCAGCCCTCTTGCTTCGTCTGTGTGAACTAGGAATGCTTACCTTTAGCAATGTGCCAGATGTCATACAGATGACATGTTTCTGGCAGGTTTTCCCTTATCCATTTGGCGATCTGTAGGTGGCGATCAGTGACGATCTTGCCGATCTGCAGTGTGCAGTTCCTCCTTATGAAGTCAATCGCCCTAGCCAGACCCTCCTTCTCCATAGCATTGCTTGATCCGACTTCATTGCTCTGTTTTTGTGAAATAATACAGGTAGGAAAACTTTTAGACCAGAGTAACATCAAATCATTTCATCATTACATTTAAGTGCTTTGCATTTATTTGCATTGCTGCTTGCTTAAAAATTACCTGTAGTTGTAATACTAATAGATAAGAGAAAATAACAGGAGAAGCTACTTACCTGAACCAACTGTAGGGTAAGAATCTTTTTAGTCCTCAAATCCATAAGGGTGTAAGACCCATATTTGGCTGAATGTCCAGGGCTGTCAGCCCTGCCATCACCTCCCAGTATCAGTGCCTGTCCTCCTTCATGCAGGGCTGCAAACATGCCTTCCTGTTTCCTACTCCAGACGTTCTGGATTGCCAAGTGGAGGGTCATACGTTGGTGCCGGAAGAAAGTTCTAGCTGAGATACAGTGTAGGCGAAGGCAGGCAAAGACGTTCAACGCCTGTTGTGGTATTGCCCCTGTTTGAAAGCATACAAATTCATTGTGATTTGTCTATTTGACAATTTTATTGGTTACCTACATCAATCTGTGTATATAGTATAATAATAATAATAATAATAATAATGGGACAGTATGTACTTATACACAAATTAACATTAACTCATCTGTAAACCTCCTTGCAATGTGGCTTTAAAGGTTCAGTTTATATGACTTTAGACATGATTGACAGGAAGTAATTCAATACCTGCAAAAAGAACTGCTGCAGAGATCAGCAAGTTCCCAGCTGGTGTGTTGCGTATGAATGGCTGGCTGCTCCATGTCCTCACATGTTCGCACAAGGTACAAATCTGTGTGATGGACAGGAAGGACCCAATGGTCTCGAGGCGAAGCTTCTGCTTTCCACTACCACAGAGTAGGCAGAGAGAGAAAAGCTGCAGAAGAGCTGAATGGAAGACAAGGTACTTTCTCTCCTCCTGGGGTGGTACTGACTCATCTGGCAGATGAATCTCTTCTGTCTCTAAGTCATCACTAGGTAAAGATTGAAAAAAAATTGGTTTGCACATAAAACTGTGATGCCACATTAGGGATTTCAACAAATGTGTTTTACTGTTATGATACTGTGATAAAAGAGGCTATTTGAACAAATGAAGGAATATGTTGCAATTGCTTCTGACCTATCAGTGTCTGACAGCTCCTCCTCTGAGGGAAAGTAGTCCTCATCATCATCGTCATCCTCCTCTTCCTCAGACTCCGGCTCCGAATCGGTGTCCTCATTCTCCAGGGGTGGGGCGAGGAGTGTGCACTGGACCCCTGCGTCAGCGCGAGCAGGAGTGACCTGTGTTGCTGAAGAATAACAAGCAAAATGACTTTGAAATATTAGCACTGTCAATTCTTCATAGTATTTCAAAATTACATACATAATTGTATAAAATGTCTATTTCAAAACAAAACCATCATTGTCATAAGTGGAAATAATATGTGCCTTAATGCTGATTGTATACAGATAAACTTTTGAAAAAGATGTACAATGGAAAGGAATGTTGCAAAACTCTTGATACAGCTGTAATGCATGAAACATTTTACAGTAACTGTGTTACAAAACACTTGAGCATCACACCATCTTTACCTCTGTGTCTGCCTGATGACTTTGTCTGTGTGCCCACACTGTTTTTCAGCTCAGCTACAACCTGAGGATTGTTTAATTCACATTAGGTTTACCACATAATTTTCAGGATGAAAGAATAGATTGTGTCAAAAGAGTCAAACAAAACAGTGCACCCCTCAGATTCAAAAATCTTGTAACTCTTAAAGAAGTTCAATTATATCTGACATTTAGTAAAGGAGAGAGTTTTCATCACAAAGTATTTATCATTTCAAGTAACATACCTCAATATCAACCTTGTCTTCTGAGAGATTCTGATCCTAAATGAAACAGAAACAGTGTTTTTAAAAACTTGGTCAATAGTTACCACACAGCACATTGTGACTAATGTTTCAATGTATAAGCTTATATTGTTATATAAGCTTATATTGTTACAAAAATAAATAAATTATTTCTTGCTTACTTGTCCATTGTTCCTGACAGTTTTTCTTTCACTTTGTAACATTAAAAATTCAATTTAAAGTATCTAAACAAAACCAATACAACATACCTGTACACTTTGTTCCAACAGGTCTGCAATGATCTGTGTGAAAAGTAAATGTACTACATGTATTTGCATTGTACGGCAATTTATATGATACATGTCAAACAATTTACTAGTAAGAGTCCAGCAAGAGATATAAAGACTGACGCTACAGATATGTACGGTACATAAATATCGAAGTCCAGCACTATATATTTTAAAAACTCACTGCAAAAGGGGCCTGCGTGACTTGTGGAAGAGCCGCGTACAAGCTATGTATGTTTACGTATTTTCGCCGGCGCCCCCCTCCCACCCCACGCCCATAATAATACGTTAGCTAAAGCGGAAAGTAAACGAGGCGGCTCCTAATTCTGAAGATATCTACATCTATATCGTCACTCCTGATCTGCCAAGAGTTTATGTTGTGTCACAAGAGTATTCACAGAACGTTACCTGTTGTCGTCTGCGTTTTTCGAACGCCGTACGTGAGCCGCTTACAGCAGACGACGCCCCACTCTCAGCCGGTCTTTCGTCAAACGCATGTACATCCGGCACGGCTGTGGGCTTCAACTGAACGCGTTTACGTATTCCGAATTCCCGCTCGAGTCCGCCGACAAACTGGTCGCTGGAAAAATGACGACTGCACAGTTCGGCTTTCGCCCCTCCCGTCCAGTTGTTTCTACGGCGCTGTACGTACTGGGTCCACAATCGCCTTCTCCGCGGGCTGCTTGGAAAACTATGCAAACTAAGTCCTAATTTCGTAGTCCCAGAACAACCATAAGCTACACATCTACGCACCATATTTCTATAATAACAAAGATAAACAAAGATACTGACGAAAAAACTTGGGCTGACAAAAAAACTACATGACAGTTCCTGTCGTCTGCTAAACTATGACGCTCGCGTTCCTACTGTGACGTCACTTCCGGTCTCACTGCCGAGTTTGCACTAGAGTAGAGCTGGTGGATTTAACACTTAGTTTTCGCAAATTCATGGGCGCTTGGATAAAAATGAGGCAATTTCTACAATT